AGCGGACAGCACTTGTGTTTGCATGCTTAGCTCCACTTGTGCAAGCCAAGGGTGCTCGGGTGCAAAGCTCCATTTGTGCAAATGGAGCTTTGTGCATGAGCACTCTCCACTGGCACGAGCGGAGCTTCACGCATGAGCACAAACACCCCTCAAGCCCTTTCTGCTCATGTAATTAGAGCTTCATACATGAGGGCAAGTGCCCGCCACTCATGAGAGTGGAGCTTTGCATGTGAACACAAGCACCCTTCACTTTCACACAAAGCTCCATTCTTGTAAGTGGAGAGCGCTCCCACCCACCACTCACATCAATGGAGCTGTGTTCGTGCCTGCACCTGCCACACATGCCCCTCCCTGCGACGGACCAGGCTGAAGCTGGAAAGGTTGGGGGCTGCTGATGTAAAGCATTGGAAGTCCTTTTTAAAAACATTTTAAATTCAGCCTTTCTTGTTTTTTAAAAAATTATTATTATTAATTTTTTTATATATCAGAGAACATATCCAATACACCTTCCTTCTCATATTTTCCCACCAATAATAACCTGAGAGGTGAATTGGTCTGAGAGAGTGTGACTGGCCCAAAGTCACCCAGCAGGCTTTCTTGACTAAGACAGGAGTAGAACTTACAGTCTCCTGCTTTCTAGGACAACACCTTAACCTCCTCAACCACTGGACCAAACTGGGTTGTTGGTGTTTTTTTTTTTGTTAGTTTTCTTTTTGTAAGCTGCTATTCTTTAACAGTTATCAACGCAGATCCAGTTTCAACCTTCAAAAACTAAGCATGGTTCATAACATGTAAAAAACTGAACTGCTATCTTCCGGTATAGATAATGCTCCCATTTCTTAGATCATTACAGAACAAATACATAGCAATTCCCTTTTCTGAGTTAATTTCCATGAATTTTTTAATTTGCTTTTGCTCAGGGGTGAAATGCTCCCGGTTCGGACCAGATCGCCCGATCCGGTAGTGATGGTGGTGGGTGATTTGGAGAACCAGTAGCAAAAATCCCTGCCACCCCCCCCCCCCCTGCCCACCTGAGCCGCACGATCATCAGAGGCTTTTATTTTTTACTTTTAAAAGCATTTTTTCTTCGGCCAAAAAAATGCTTTTAAAAGTAAAAAAAAAAAGCCTCTGATGATCACGCAGCTCAGCTGGGATCATCAGAGCCTTTTAAAAGCATTTTTTCTACAACCTCTTCAGGTGAAGAGGTTGTAGAAAAAATGCTTTTAAAAGTAAAAAAATAAAAGTTGGCTATGCCCACCCAGTCACATTACCCCCACCCCCACCACCACAAAGCCACGCCCACAGAACCGGTAGTAACAAATTTTACATTTCACCACTGCTTTTGCTCCATTTTATAGCTTAATTTGCTACTTGGAAGTCATCTGGATCTTTCCTTCTTTCTATTCCCTGGCAAAAAATAAGTGAGATATCACAATTAAAAATACATATTTTGATTGAAATCTTCTATTTGTATCAAATAAATACATGTAGTCGACTTATGATCACAATTAAGCCCAAAATTTACATTGTTAAGTGTGTTATTCCCCATTTTACAACCTTTTTTGCCATAGCTGTTAAGTGAATAACTGCAGTTGTAAAGTTAGTAACACCATCATTAAGTGAATTTGGCTTCACCAATGACTTTGCTTATTGAGAGGTCACAAAAGGTGATCACATGACACTGGGACATGCCAGATGCCATACATCCGAATTTTAATAATATGATCATGGGGGTGTTACATTGGTTGTAAATGTGAAAAATGGTCATAAGTTACTTTTTTCCATAGCTGTTATAACTTTAAACAGTCACTAAATGAATGGTTGCAAGTCGAGAACTACCTATACAGCATGGAAAGCCAGGATCTTGGGTGCTTTGGTATGATGATAAGTACAGATATTGAGAAATTTGGTCACAGTATTTGTAGTGCTTGATATATGAAAGTTTGAGTAAGTTGTATATAAAAGAGAAAATAATACATCTTCGTATCCTTTCTTATTAAACTAATCTGAAAATTCAACTCTGTCTCATTATTCCAGCATAATGCTGGCTGCTCCTATCTTTCTTGATTGCATTGAAACAAGTAAGATGTTCCGTATTTAATTAAAAGCATAGATTTGAGGCAACTATAAGGCAAGAATGCAGATCCTTAGGGATGGTGGCCAGGCCCAAGCTTTTAACATACCAACCGAAAAATTGCCACAGCATCTGGGAATAGTCATTATGTTTCTTTATCACTTTAATTCCTTTTGTATGGAACAACACAATTTGCTAAAGGAAAAAAAAAGCCTCGTATTAACCTAAAAGGAACTATAATTGAAAATGTTTGCATTACACTGGAACAGAACCACGTCCTCTGTACTTTTACACATCAGCCTGCTGTTCAATCCTGTTCATCTGGAATGGTCGATGTTCAAGAGAACACCCCCATATTAATAATATTTGTTACCATTCTCCTATCACTGTGGAAACATAAAAATCACTGCCATCCTACACCTGAGCTACAGATATTCGCCACTAGAAAATATATAGAAAAATATATCTTTTTAAGTTATGGAAGGGTTATTACGTCTGTCCTTATACAGAAAAGTTTGATTTTGCAGGACATGAGAAAGAGGCAGAAGGGAACAATTCAAATGACAGAAAATATAAAGACACCATTCATTTATTCATTCAATTTGTGTAGCTGCCAATTTCACATATGTGACTGGGTGGATTGTGTAGTTAAAAAAAATGCACAAAAAATACAAAACAATACAGGTAGTTATTTGATTTACAACTACGACTGAGACCAGAATTTCTGATACTAAGTGATGTCAATGTTAAGTGTTGTATCCAGTGGTGAAAAGTAAAATTTGTTACTACCGGTTCTGTGGGCGTGGCTTGGTAAGGGGGGGGTAATAAGGCTGAGTGGGCGTGGCCAACTATTTTTTTTTAAGTTTTAAAACCATTTTTTTCTACAACTTCTTTGGCTGAAGAGGTTGTAAAAAAATGCTTTTAAAGCCTCTGACGATCCCAGCTGATTTGCCTGATCGGCAGAGGCCTTCCTTTTTTTAAAAAACATTTTTTCTATAACCTCTTTGGCTGAAGAGGTTGTAGAAAAAATGCTTTTAAAAGCCTCTGATGATCCCAGCTGAACCGTGCGATCACAGAGGCTTTTGTTTTTACTTTTAAAAGCATTTTTTCAGCCAAAGAGGTTGTAGAAAAAATGCTTTTAAAAATTAAAGAAAAGCCTCTGATGATTGTGTGGCTCATCTGAGCAATGGGGGGGGGGGGCAGGGATTTTTGCTACCAGTTCTTCGAACCACCTGCCTCCATCGCTATCGGATTGGGCGATCTGGTCCAAACTGGGAGCATTTCACCCCTGGTTGTATCCAATTTTATGATCTTTTTTTTTTTTTTTTTTTGCCATAGTCATTAAGCAAATCACCACAGTAGTTAAGTGAAACACACAGTCATTAAGCAAATTCATTGACTTTACTTGTAGGAAAACAGCTGGAAAGGTTGCAAATGGTGATCATGTGACCATGAGATGCTGCAAAGATTGTAAATCCATGATGTTTGCCAAGGGCTTGAATTTTGATCATGTGACCACAGGGAAGTTGCAATGGTCATAAGTGCAAGGACTGGTCACAAATAACTTTTTTCAGCACCACTGTAACATTGATTGCTCACTAAGCAAATGGTTGTAATGTAAGGACTATCTGTAACAACAAAAACAATTAAGGCATATTAAAACTATTTTTAAAAACCATAAAAAAGAGTGCAGCAGTTAGTAATCTAAATTAATCTAAGCAGGTTGTGGCTTGCTGGTACTCTAGAACAAGCTTCTCCATCTGATGCTTATTATAGCTGTGCTAACCAGATGTGTTAAGTACCAACTCCCTTCATCCTTGCCATTGTGGTTCCTATTTGCAAAAGAAAAAATGTAGAGAAAGTAGTAACAAAATGGACAATATGACTAGGGCCCAAATAAAAAGGCTAGTTCTGGAGAAGGAGCAATGTAAATAAACATAGGGTGATTTTGGTTTATAATTGAGTGCCAGGAATTGTCCTTAGTATATTGATGTCCTCTAGAATTTTAAACTGGAGGAAACATTTATATAAATTAACCAGTTTGACTTAATCCATTCAGTGCACACGCCAAATTGTACAGATTTTTAAAATCTGTTACTTGCTTTGTAACTAAGAAAATAGAACATTTTAAACACAAAGCAGATCAAAGGCAGTCCTGTATTGTATGTTTTCACTGGGAGATATTTTAGAAACATTGCAGATACACAGCAGTAAGCTCCTTCACAGCTAACCAGCCAACAGCAAAAATTGGGTCAGGGTGACATTTCTTTAATGTTCCAAATGAATGTTTCCATGATATTAATTAGGGAGTTGTTATAGCACTGAAGGTTACTTCCCTGATTTTACGAGAGCATAGTGACTGTTGGGCGCTGCAGAATGAGGCTGAGTGTCATGAATTGCTATACACAATTAATTTTGCTGTCATTTCTCTAGTTCCTGTTTCTTCATGCAAATATAAATGCGTTATGTGAAGCTGGCCAGATAGGGATTGACTACATCCGTGATGGGCAAAATCTTTTGGGACTGGAAACTGTAACACTGGTGGCAGGCAAAAAAATAAACAATCTTTCATTGAACGGAGAAGTTGGTTGATTTGACGACTTCCTAGTGGGTTGTGTTGGTATACTTAGTAATGTTGAGTTAATAGTCTAATGCTTATACACAAAACAGTGATATTAATTACTGAGTTCTCCATGTATTTAGAAGAATTTTAACAAGCGTGAATCCTTTCCCAATTATAATTGGAAATGGCTGATTAATGTATTTTCTACAGAGCAATTAAAAATGCATGTTTTTACTTAGTATTCACCAGTAGTTAAGAGAAATCAAGTAGCTGCGAAATAAGAGAATGATATAAAAACAGAATTCCAAATTTCACAAGAGAGATCAAACTTAAATGTTAGGAATATAATAAGACTCTCAAATGTTGGACAGGTTATTCAACAGGTCTTTTATTGCCATACTTGGATACAGAGACTTGAATCTTAAGATCTTCTAAATGAAAACCATGTATTTATCCTGGGGCTGTAGGCCTTCCTGAATTCTACATTAGGAAGAGGAACTCCATGTATTGATTAAGGTATTCCAGGGCTAATTAAATTTGAATAGAACTTGTCAGCTATCAAATTAGTCATTTTACCTTGGAGAATGTTTTAGGAAACTTAAGACAGAATTGTGATTCCATTCGCAGTCCTACATTCTGAAGACTTGATGAGTTTGAAGATCAGTAGCAGCCTCCCCAAAATTAATATTCTCAAGATATGTTAGGACTTTTCCCAAAATTCACAGCCAACTTAGAAGGTGGTATTGCTTCAGTCTCCGCAGAGTATGGATGACTTTGAAATGTTATTTCAGGTAGCTTCTACCTGAGTGTGCACAGATAATACATGCAAAAAGTAAAGCACTTCTCTTTCCAGTTGAAAAATGTTTCTTTACCATCTGGACAGCAGAGTTATAGGAGATAAGTGTTTGAGCATGATTGCAAGGGTCCAAAGTCAAGCTTTTTGCAGAACGTTTTATATATCTTGCATGTTGCTGTGTGGAAGAAGTCACAAACTGGGCCATAGAAACATTGAAAAACATTTTGTCCAGGTTTTTTTTTGTTGTTGTTTGTTTCCTTTCTTCCTAAATTTTGCATTGTAGTGGCTCATGAGCTCCAGCTCTTTGAGGGAATGGATAAAAAATAGAGAACATTTGTTTTCTGACAATGGTATTTACTTTTTACATTAAATACCTAGATTCTGTGTTATATGATTTTTAAAAAGTCATACTGGTTTTAGGCCAACAAATACAGGAGTAGATCTATACGACATAGAATTGATTATGCAGATGCTTTTTTTTTACTTTGTTAGTTGTTATGGTATATGTTAAATCAAATCATTAAATCATTAATTGCTTCCAGAACAATGAGATCAGAATAAAATATTTCTGTCTCATAAATTATCCATTTATGCTTATAGATTATAGTCTTTTCCCACCCTGGATTAACACGTTTTGCTGTTTATTTATTTATACTCTTGCAAACATTCAGAAAGATATTTCTTGTTTCCATTGTAATTCAATTAACGTTATTGCACTTCCACATAGAACACTTAAGTTGTGGGCTGAGTATGGGAACTTTTTAAATGTGTGATAAATGGAAGAGAGAATAATGGCTCCCTTGAGTTTAGAGGCTGGGAGGAAGATTAGGCAAGACTCTGGTGCATGTGGCTTATATAATCGGGAAATCAAGTCAGCTATTTTTCTTTCTTTCTTTCTTTTTTCGCAGCCAAATTTGTTTATATAAATAGGGTAAATCAACACTACCATTTTTTTATGGAGACTGAAACCCTCTAGAAATTAACAAGTTATGCAATTTAAAGTGGGGAAGAGTACTTGCTTCCATAATCTGGAGGGAAGCCTCAGCATTAAAAAAATATTCAGCTTTGTTTTGATTTCATATAAATTAGACTAGAATCAGAAAACTCATCCAGGTTTTAAAACACATTGATACTATAGGCCCAAGTAGGTTCAAATATGATCCAAAAGTAGCACCAAGAGTATTGAGAAGTCCCCAAATCAAGGCAGAAACTCTCAGAAAAATAGAGTATTCTTAAATCTTAAAAATTCATAAACTTAGCTCTGGGATGATAGTGATGGTAAGTAGAAATACAAATGTCCTTACCTTTTCCTGGAATCTTGGTGATGAGAAAGGGGGATATTTTTTTGAAGATATCTACTTTGTGAAATACCGAAGGAGGTCCCTACTGTCACCGTACTTCTTTAAAAAAAATACATAACTACATAAAACCACTGGGGGACATCATACATCAGCATTGGGTTTAGTGTCATAAATATGCTTGTGATACCAAGCTATCCATCTCAACCTTGATAGAAATGCTGACCCAGTACTTGGAGGCTGTCAGAGCCCGGATTAGAAGATTTTGGTTTTGTGGGCCAATCTATTCCAGGGAAATACCATATTAGATTTTGAATAGTTACATTCCTCCTTTAAGAAATGGTTTGCATTGTGGAGGTCCTCCTGGACTCACAACTCCTGCTCAGTCAGCAAGTGAGAGGGGAACAGCCATCATAACTTTGAACGGTCACTAAACAACTAGTCATAAGTCAAGGACTATCTGTAGTTGGAACAGGCAGTTGAAGCACCTCTATAGTTGTAGGTGCAGCAAGACTACCAAGAGTCCAAAATTTCATCTTGTGACCCTGGGGGCATTGCAACAACTATAATTTCAGGGATCGGATGTAAGTATCATTTGTTCAGAGCTGCCATAACTTTGAACAGTCACTGAATTACTGGTTGTAACTTGAGGACTAGCTGTTTAAGTAAAGCAGATAAATAAATAGAAACCCACTTTTCCCATATATGATGATCTCTTTCATTTGAACCCTTTCCTAACCTAGTTTGAAGCACATGGGTTTGGGTAATAAATGCTGAAGGAAGAACGCTGTAATCTGATATCAGAATCGTTTCTGGTTGTATTTGTACTCTTAAGCAGTTGTTCTCCATGGCTTGCTTTAAGCCAAAGTGCCTGTGGGCTGCACTCTTATGTTTAAGGGCTGCAATTTTGTCATGGTACATTTTCAAGGAAAATCATAGATTAGTCATGGTATTTTAAACAAAAATCTACAAAGAGCCTAAGAAAAACATGAAAAGTTATTCTTTTTCCTCCTATGAGATTATATGAGAGTTCATAGCATACATGGACACATGGTTATTTTGTTTTATTTTGATTATTAGTTAATCAAATTTATATAGCTGCTCATCCTACAAGAAGTGACTCTGGGTGGCATACAATGATCAGTAAAAAAAACAATATTTACATAGAATCAGACATTAAAAATAGAAAAATCAGCATTAAAAATGGAGATGATTAAAACTGAAAATATATACAAACCTAAGCAGAGAGAGTACATCCATCTCAATATTAGGTAACTTATTTATCAACTACTTTTAAAATTTTCTAATAGTTTGTAATTTCTTCTTATATTCTCCCTTAAATGTAATTTCTTCCACAACCAGATCTTCCCCAGAACTTTTCAGTAAATAACTTTCAATTTCCTTATATCCCTTCTTGCATGATAAAGTTAAAATCCAATATACCCCTCATCCCTGAGAGTAGGCTGTTCTGGAGCAACTATTTAAATCCTTACATTTTCTTTACCTTTTGAACTTTTCATCATCTTTCATATCTTTATTTGCCTTGTGATCGGGCGAGGATCCATTTCAGCTACCTTTGGTGGGTCACTGGGCTCAATTCCTATCCATACCTGGATTTCAGTTGAGAACTTCAATTCCAAATGACAAGCTATAGGACAAAGTGACCTACACACACACACACACACACACACACACACACACACACACACACACAGTGGAATGATGGGTATAATATATTGATAATACTAGATGAGAATTTGCAGTTACCCGTTGAATTAAGAACCACTGTGATCATGTAATTTAAACCAAATTAAACTCTCTTAGATGTCTATATTTTTAAAGCAGCCACCATAAAAATTACTACTGTTTCATTACTTGAATGTATCACAGACAATACTGAAGACAATTAACAACAACCACAACAACAACAACAAATAGAGCACAGTTATGAAGATTTGGTTTATGGTTTAGATTACACAATGTGTTAAGTCATAATTTAGTAATATGCAGGATGTATTCTGTTACAAAGCTTTATATAGGCAGATCCTTAATTTAAGATGTTTTTCAGCAGTTATTAGATAATGTATATAGTGTAATTCTACAACTGAAAATTTCTTGGTTATTTGCTAAAGAAAGTTAGAAATAAACATAACCACTCATCTATGGTGAATCGCATCTAGACATCCCATCTGGGAATAACTGGGCCTCTTGCCATTCATAGCTGAACTCCCGCAGACTCTTCTGCTAGACAATTTGTGGACAGGTGATTTTTGTTACTCACCTTTGCAGCCATACAATCTGTTTCTTATAGTGTTTTAAAAGATTTTCTAGTTTTTCAAAGTCCTGTAGGAAAAACATTTTTCCTCCGCTGGAAACCCCTCCCTTAATGGAATTTCACTCACTGGAATTTTGGGCCCAAATACGTACAGTGTAAATATCTTCAGTCTTAAAAAAGAATTATTTTTAAGGTCCAAAAACTGAGGATCCCAGAATAAGATCCTAATATTATATTTTCCACTTCTAACTTATATGTTTAATCAGATACTGTAGGCTATGATATGGAACTGGAAAAATGAGTCTTCAGTTAATTATATTCAACACTATTAATAATAATAAAAAAATGAGCCACTGCTTTTAATCAATGACTAGCCATAAAAAGGTGATACCAAATTGTGTCTTCCACAAAGAGTCGTGGTGGCTCAGTGGTTAGAATGCAGTACTGCAGCTAATTCTGTAACTGCCGGCTGCCAGCAGTTTGGCAGTTTGACTTTCACTGGCTTAAACTTGACTCAGCTTTCCATCCTTCCAAGATTGGTAAAATGAAGACCCAGATTGTTGGGGGCAATATGCTGACTCTGTAAACCGCTTAGAGAGGACTGTAAAGCACTGTGTACGGTATATAAGTCTAAGTACTATTCCTATTGCTATTTGTTATCAGCTTTAAATTTTCATGAAAATATTCCCTGTATATGATAAAAGTGTCCTAATAGTCACTATTATGTCATTCTGGGTGGATGGATGATTTTCAGATTTAAGGTGTAAACAGATTTGAAATTCTAATGTACTAATGCGACTGAGATTAATTTCTGAGTTTAGAAATTCATAACTAGTAGCTTGTAAGGTACACTTAAGATACTCAGATGAATTTTATGATTAATGTTTTTCCAGCCTAGGATTTAAAAGTTAAACAGCTGTTCTCTTAATCCCTGTCCAAGTTGCTTCCAGCCATACTTTTATCTACAACTCATTTTGTGATTCTTCAGATATTCTCTGATCTTATTCATCATCCTTGAACTCCAATAACATGCCACGATAAATGCAAGGAAGGAAAAGAGTTGGCTCTCCCTTTGTCTAACTTCTCTTTCTTCGTTTTGCTACTTGTAGAATACTAACATTGTTATTCAAGGAGAAAAAGGCATAAATTATAGAATGGGTAGAAAGAAAGAACACAGGTGAGTTGTCTGGTTAAGAGAGGATTCATCGCTCGAAGAACAGAGAAGTCAGGGTTGATTGAAATGAAGTATTCCATGATTTGTATAGAAATAATGCAGCTGATTTGTATTGAAGAGGACGATGTTATGTCCCCACTCCCAAGTGATCTGGTGATTTGATATTGCAAGTATGACAAAGAGTAGATGTGATTCTATTACCAATCCCATTATCTCATTAATACATACATATACACATATATAGTGGAGGAGAGAACAAGAAAACCTTCATGGAGGTATAATGATTTAGTATGCTAACAAATGGAGAATATTCTTAAATTAACCATAATACAGTTGAGAGGGGTGGGTGGAGTTGTCATCATTTCAGAAATAGATACTTGGTTAGTGATTGCTTGTCTATAGGAGTGTTTGGGCCTAAAAAGTTCTAGCAAGATTTGGCCTACTCTGGCCTACTCTGAGAACTAACTTTGTAAGGTAGTTAAACCCTTTCTCCACAGATAAAGCCAAAAAATAGAAGAAAAAGAATATAGCAGTTTAATAAATAATTTAATCTTAATCTGTCAGTTACCATTATACTATAAACCCCATTCATTTCTAGCTCTGTCACAAATTATACATTATTATCTTTATCCAGAATAGCTGAACCAGCCTGGATTTTCACAGTCCTAATTCTTCAGACTCAGTGATATGCCCTTATTAAGCAACACAGAAAATAACCAATATTGTCCTTTTAAATATGTCTAATATTATGACGGATTAGGATAAAAAGTCCACTTCTATTAAATAAATTGGTTAAACCCATCAGCACTGTGTCAAGTCCCTAACTTTTATATTTAATTTTAGAAGTCAAAACTAAATGTTTTAATTTGACATTATTCTTAACATCATGCTAATTTCTTCCAGATGCCTCCATGGAGAAAAACACTGCAATTTTTGCACAGAAAGCATGCGTTTCAGTGATTTATTCCAAAAGAACTTCTATTTACTGCATTACATTTTCTTCTCAATGAAGCACTTAACAACATGTTTCTCTTTAAGGATCTTACTTAATCATATGGATTTTTTTTTTCAATTTACATTTTCAGTTCTTTAGTACTGTGGCCACAGGACGTTTCTTAAAGTACGTAAATTAAATGCACATGTTGAAAACAAGTTATATACAAGTCCAAAGCACTTTTTGTTGTAAAAGCCTTCGTGGCAGGTAGACAACTGATGGGTACTTCTTTGTTAGTTTGTGGGATAGAATTAAAAGTACTATGAAAACTTAACTTTTTCCATCCAAAATATTACATAATCATCTATTAGAATAATGTAACTTAATTTTTTTTGTACCCTAAATAGCTGAAGGCTGAATGCCTTCAAAACATGAGAGAGAATTAGACAAAAACATACTTTTGGGGAAAGGAGGGTGACTTCTGGGCTGATATTCAACATTTCAATTTAAAAACTCTGTTGGGTTATATTTCAAGTTTTTTTTAAAAAAGTAATTAAAGAGACATTTTTAGAGCTGAATGCAAAATCTTTCAATTTTAAACTTGCCACATTTGAACATCTTATACAGTCATTGTTATACCCAGGAACCCCATTTCTGAAGCATTTAGAGAATCTAGTCTTGGTTTTTCAGACTGCGATATGTATATAATAGAGGCCATAAACAAGACATCACCATAGACATGTCACTGTAAGAAGCTGCAGAACAGTGTCCAGAATATATGCTCTTCTGCTTTTCATTCTTTAATGTCAGAATGGTTTTGAAATTGAACTTTGCATTTTAAAATATACTGCTCAAAAAAATAAAGGGAACACAAGCAGAAGACATCCGAGATCTGAATGAATGAAATAGCCTTATTAAATACTTTGTTCTTTACATACAGTAGTTTATACACTGCTCAAACAACTAAAGGGAACACAAAACTACTGTATGTAACGAACAAAGTATTTAATAAGGCTATTTCATTCATTCAGATCTCGGATGTCTTCTGCTTGTTTCCCTTTTTTTTTTTGAGCAGTGTATTATCTGCATATTTGCTCAGGTATCCCCTGAAACACTGAGTATCTTAAGTGACTGACAGGACCCCCAAAGTGGTGTACTAAAATTAAAAAGCAAAATCTCTCCTTCAACCCCCCACCAGCAAAGAATTATAAAATTCTTTATTATATTATATTATAATTTATAATTATAAAATAGACTACATACATAATCAATTTTATCTTTTGTATATCAGCTCATTTTGTCATTTTTTTGACAAAAAGCTTTAAAAGGAATAAGTTTTGGGGAATTGCAGATGGGTGAGAGAATTATCAAGCAGAATTGCTAAGTTATCAATTCAGTATTTGATACAGATGATGTTTAATCAATTAGCTGGTATATTAATGTTTCCTGACTTATAATAAATACAAGCAACAGGGCCATGATGGCGAACCTATGGCACATGTAGTCATATTGGTGGGCACATGAGCTCAGCTCAGGTGCGCATTTGCAAGCCAGCCAGCTGATTTTCGAGCCTTCTGGGCCCACCAGAAGTAGGGAAACAGGCTGTTTCCTGCCTCCAGAGGGCCTTGGGGGGGGGGGGAAGGCCCGTTTTTTGCTGTCCCCAGGTTCCAGAGCCTTTCTAGGAGTCTGGGGAAGGCAAAAATGGCCTCCCCCCCAGGGCCCTCCCGAGGCTGGAAATGGCCCACTTTCTGACCATTTCTGGCCGCCGGAGGGCCTCTGGGATGGGGGGGGGGGAAGAAGGCTGTTTTTGCCCTCCCCAGACTCCTAAAAAGGCTCGGGAGACAGCAAAATTGAGCCTTCCGGTCCCACCCGAAGTTGGCAAATGGGCTGTTTCTGGCCTCTGGAGGGCCTCGGGGGGGGTGGGGGAAGGGCTGTTTTTGCCCTCCCCAGACTCATAGAAAGGCTCTGGAGCCTGGTGAGAGAGAAAAACAAGCCTATTGGTCCATCATGTGCCAGGAGCATGGGGAGCGTGGGGGAGGGGAGGTCGTGTGGGTGTGGGCACACACATCCCCCCTGCTCCTGGCATGCGATGGCTAAAAGGTTAGCCATCACTGGAATAGGGTATATAGGCTCTTTGAGCCCATTGGCTTTCTTAGTTAGCCATATGTTGCCTTTTATGCAGACCAAGATTTGTTAACTGAGAATATACTGGTTGAACAATCGGGTTCATAAATAGCCAGGAGCTTAGATTCAGATATAATAGTAAGTTTTCAATTGGTGTTACCGTAGCTATTTGTCTAGCAGGAAGAACCAAGGTGGGAGCAAACCAGTGGTGGGTTGCCCCGGTTCGCACCGGTTCTATAGAACTGGTAGTAAAACCGGCGGAAGGCTCCTCCCACCAACCCTGATGTCATTAGAATGCTTCTGCGCATGCGCGCGCGCGGCCTTGTTGCAAACTGGTAGTAAAGGTAAATAGAACCCACACCTGGAGAAAACATACTGTGTGTAAAAGGTCAGACAAAATTTATTATTCAGTAATTATATGGTTACGCACCAACATTTTTCTAAAGAGTATAAATTTATATAATAAAGAACAAGAGTTCTTGGATTATGATAGGTAAAGAAAAGGAAAAGGAGGAAATGGAAATATAAGCCAACGAACTGTGAAACTATTTGGTTAAACTAAATTTTGACACCTATCAATTCCAATGCTTTTATATGCATTCTTAGATACCTGTTAATATTGCTTCACTTTAACATTATTGAATTTTTCACGAACTCTTAATACAATTATATATATATAATTATATATAATCTTCATCGGCTTCGTGCTTCGAGAACAATGAAGATGACGAATATCATCGAAACGTCGCCAAGACATATTTTACGTAGATATGTTTTCTCAGGTTTTCGCGGGTGTTTGTATGTAGGTCTTTGGTTATTCGGGTCTTCTCCCACGTAAAATTGGAAGTGTCTTGGCGACGTTTCGATGAAGTCTCATTCGTCATCTTCAGGCTGGTGTTCTCGGCTTCGTGCTCCTGGAAGCACGAAGCCGAGAACACCAGCCTGAAGATGACAAATGAGACTTCGTCGAAACGTCGCCAAGATACTTCCAATTTTACGTGGGAGAAGACCCGAATAACCAAAGACCTACATATATATATATATCTTTTTCTTTTTCGTAGGCTTTTATGTGCATGTTCTTTCTAGCCAGGTTTTACCAAGTAAACTAAGTTGTTCTACAGCC